TGCGTGTCGACGTGGGCTGCTTACCGCGCTGGCCCAACTCCCGGGTGCTGGCCGGGGAGGTGGGCCGTGTCCCAGCGACAAACTCAGCGGCTGAGAGGCGGAGACAAAGTACTGTTGATGATATAAATCTGCACTACCTGAAGGACCCTAAGCTATGGGAATTATGGTGTATTCCTTATTATGGCATGGGTAATGCAGGATTTATGTCATCAATCGTCGTTCCTTTGCGGCTCATGGTTTCAGGCCCAGATTTGACAATCTCGCAAGTACCGAGAGTTTGGACTGACAAGTTCATAAATTGTGGAGTTTAAGTTTTAGGGCTTCATGTAAAGGGTTTATATAGAGCCAACGAGGCGTTCGGGTTTGCCGCGGGTTACAGAGCTCAGGGGAAAGATGGTGGCATGTTCTGATCGTATCATGGAAGACACATGTGCACAACAAGGCCTACACAGTCAAGTTCGGGCAAGAATATGCGAGAATTGGTAACTCTCGACAGCATATACGAAGAATATGTTTTGGCCCCAGTCGAGGTCTTGGCGATTCGAGTTTCGGAAGAAAGCGGGCCCTATGTGCAAGACCCCTCTTGCAAACTCTTGCCGCATCTCTTGCACTTCAGCGGTATTGCTTCTGTTCGTGGCTGTTGGGGACTGCCACGGTGCGATGTAACTAACGAAAAAACCCGTAGCAAACACACCTCGAGCCGAAGATGCGCAGTGAGCATACCAGACCGCTGGTAAGAATAATGAATGCACACAGTGTTGGCACAAGGATGAGTGCATCGGGTTTATCTCCTGGAGTCTGCTTTCGAGCGTATAGTTCCTTCAACAACACTCCGCTGGCTTAAAATATATGCTTCATGTTTCGCAGTGGGAAGGATTCCGGGAAGGAGTCTCTTGAACCCCAGAACCCTAAGCCACCGGACGCCAAGGCTCTTTCTACGATAGTTCAATCTGCCCGAAACAACACCCCAGAGTTCCCAAGCAAGAGTAAAACCCCAGTCCTACTACTGTAAGCTACACTCTGCTCGATCCTTTTTCCATTCCTTTGATGGAAGGTTGGACATCTTGTCCCGACAGGATTGCTATAGCAAGCATATCAGGCATGGGGCCTGGCACCCTGCATTGCAACCACAGCACGAAATATTTGCTTAAGACAGTAGTCGGCGGCCAAACCACCTGAGCATGGCGCAATGGTCTTGGAGCTCGCCGCCTGTGGATCTTTGGCAGCTGGATTCTTCACTGCATTTTCCCCAAAAGACAAGCAGCTATCTGTCGTGAGCTGTAGCAGCAGATGTTGCATCGTGTCCTCGTGTCACTGTATTGAGAGTGCCAGCAGCTACGCCGAGGAAATGTGTGGCTGCTCTACCGTTGTCTCTTCGCGAGGCACATGCTCCTGCGATCTTAATTGCACGTAATTACTATGCAGGCATGTGCAAGGACTTTCCTTGGTACAGCTGAGACCTACGTGCCAGGCACTACTATGCCTGGCAGCTTGAAAGCGCGGAAGACATCCAGGCAGGAACGAGAGGAATCTGCCTTTGATGGGAGTTTTTTTGATCACGGCTACCAGCCACCAGCCGGAGGCGGCGATTGCACCAGCTCGGATCCGCCGCAAGCAGTGTCTGCTGACAGGCCATGGTTCTGCCATCCTTCCGCTGCCCCATCAGCCAAGAGGTCATGCGGGAGACTAGGCTGAAATTTTATCGTAGCAACTCGCTGCTAGCCTGATTTTGTTACCCTTTAATTTAAACCCTAGACCCTACAAGCTCATAAGGAGCCTGTGGTCACCTCAGATGGTCAGACCTACGAGAGATGCAACATCGAGGCCAGGACCAGGGCTGCTTAGAACATTGATGATGTATATACATATACATATATACATACACATACATGTGTATGTATATATATATATACACGTATGCATATATATATATATACATCTATACATATATACATATATACATATATACATATATATATACACATGTATATATATATATACGTATACGTATACGTATACGCATACGTATACGTATAGGTATATGTATATGTATATGTATATGTATATGTATATGTATATGTATATGTGCATACACACATACATACATACATACATACATACATACATACATACATACATATATGTATATATACACACGCACGCACGCACGCACGC